GCGGCAAGCAGCGCCGTATAAAGGTGAGCATTTCGGGGATCAAACCTAGATCGTACCGCGTCTAAGCCAACAAGTTTGTCATTTTTTGATGGTCGCTTAGCTGACACCAAACTTTTCTGGGAGGATCAAACACTGACTTATTCTATTAGTACTGCTTGCGAATCCCATTCAAGTGCCACTATGACCCGAAAGGTGAGTAGAATGCATGGCGCATCTCAGAATAGATATACATATGACCGCCGACTGCTTTATACCTAGAGCTCCAGATTGCACTCAGCGACCCCTCGCTAGTTTTTTAAGCTCTTTACTGATAAGATGAAACCAATCTCCAAATGATCTTCTAGAACAGAACAGACAATTGGATTCTCCTCAAATGCAAGCCCCGGGATTAGCCCGACTAGCGAATATGGCGAAATTCCCAGGTTCGTGCCTACATAGATCATGCCAGCTTCGTTGCCCAATTTGTGCGATTAAGGTGCTAATTCTTACAGGCCTGCAACAATCGGCCCAAGCTGCAATGTTCCCCACTCACCGCGATTGATGTAGAGATCAGCGTGCTCGAACGGCGTGCTCTCTCGCGTGTTTTGTCTTCTTTGATCGCCCTGTCTCGCCATCGTACCACATCCGACCTTACTGAAGGTTAAGGCCTTAATTTCAGCGTTCCCAAGATTTCTCTTGCTTTCCTTTCCACTTTCAGGTCATTCCGCAGCTCAGTCATCACTACGAAGCGCTATTGTACACCAGTTTTATCCCGGGGTTTGCCTTTAAGTGCCCGGCTCCATAAGTACAACGCTGGGTACTCCCCCACGGACAGAGTTAGCGGCCCGTTGGGAGTTTCCCAGCGTTGTATCTGGATTTTGGATGGAGAGGGTTGAGTGTAAAGGACTTCTTCGCTCGACGTCAACATCAAAGTAGTGTGGATGTAAGTTGGGGTGCGTCAAGTGCTTATAGTTGTAGAGCAGTACAGTGGTAATTACAGTGACACGTCGAATACCATCGGAGTTGAGAGGGGTCTTGGTAGGTCCTCCATAAGTGTAAAAATTTGAAATTTTGGGACAACTTGACGATTGATCCTGTCGCCAAATCCTGAAAGGTACTAATTCGTCGAGACTAGCACTGAATCGTAAAATTTTTATTTCCATCACTACATATTATGAGGCTCTGCTGTATGCACTGTATGGAACCTGACCCTGTTTGCCCCTGCACAAACTTACGTCAAAATAAAACGGGCTTGGAAGCCTCGTTATTTTTTATGATATGATATTTTTTTATTAGCGTTGGGGTGTGCTTGTAGGTGGGACAAGCTAGCAATCGGTCTGAACATCTGAACAGCGAAGAACAGCTCAGGAACCCTCGGAAAGATACTTCTGCTGCCTCGGCAAATATCGAAGAACTTATAGCGTGCCACAAAAATAAGATATCATAAAAATGACATTTCTGGGTTCCATACACCAACCCAAAAAGATGCCTGCGACAGTTAGAACAGCTACAACACTTGAACAAGCTCTAGCTCCATTTATTGAGATCTCTGATGCTCCCAGAATTCTTGAACGACGCGTGAAAAAAATTAAAATTTTCTCAAAAGTGCTCTTCCCTTATCATTTCTTGCCCACAGTTTCTACTGGACCTCTCAACTCCCACCCAAAAAAAATCGAAATACCTATCCCGTTGAGAGCTCGTCTATCAAATTATTTAGACTCGTGCCCAGCCTATTTGTTACATTATCGAACAAGTGCTCAACAAAAACGAGAATCAACACGCTGAGGATGATGTAGAAGGCTTTGTTCGAGCCGGCATTTCCTTGAGCTCTCCACTAACATCATTCAGCGCTCTCAGTATGGCGTTCCTCTCGACTAGAACAAACACTGTAGTTCTTGTGAACACATATAGACGTGAAATTTTCACCTAATTACCTCCAGATTTGGCCAGATTTCAACATGCTATACAACTCGCTTCTTCTGTATTTTATGAGAAATTTCTCA